TTTCTGACAAAATCTTTCCTGGTTTTTGGCTTTTTTTCGGTCATTTTTCTAACCGAGATGCATCAAAAACCATCGGTTTTTGCGGTGTTTTTTGCCGGACAGCCACAAAAAACGCTGTAAATTCCATGATTTTTTGTCACTGCTGAGGACTGGAAGAGCTGAAAACACTGATATTTACAGTGTTTTCGAACGGTTGACCCCGAGGCGCGCTAGGGTGGAGTTGAAAGGGGGAGGGGGGGGGGGGCCCCGGCCAGCAAACGAAGATGTCGGGGACCATTTCTCCGAGAGATAGGCTGCAGCTCTGGGTTAATACATTTTTGCTAAAGCAAAAGGAAAACTCAGGTAGCGTAACCGCTACCTTTCGTGATATGGTTACTGCCAATGAGGTGTGTAGGACTTACTACCCTTTGTGATTTTCCCTTGCGAAGGACTGAGGAGTCCGGATCTCCATATTCTTCTACTATGTGCGATTAGCCTTTTCCCCGACCACGGGTCTGAAACTTGGCCTCTTTCGACCTTTTCCTTTACCTTTGTCTTTTCTGAATTTTCTGCCTCTGATTCTTTTTCTGCGCTCGCGTTGTCGGTCACTTCTCACTCAGCACGAGGAAGTGCTCTTCGTTGCACAGCGCCACGAAATCTTTTTTTCCGCCGGAGGTGTCATCGGTCACCCAGTAGTCTGCTTCGCCATCTAAAGTACCGTGCTCCCCGATGTAGTAGGTACGACGCTGAAGCTGTGGATCGTTAACGCTGGCTTTGCTCACGCAAAACACAGGGTATTGTGTGCTGTGTGCAACCATTGTTGCAACTAGGCGTTCTCGTTGTTGCTCATTAAGGTCTGCCTGCACCATGAGTATCATGGCAACGAAGTTCCCAGGGAGTGGGAATGCGGCTTGGTGTTGTTGTCGGGTGCTTCTGCTCTCTCATGCAAAATCTGCTGCACAGCGTCGGGTCGATCTCCTGCGTCTAATGCTAGAATCTTTTGACCTTGTTGTGCAGTCAATGTGTTGGTAAATTCGACTGCCTGTGGTGCTGGGAGGTCTCGGTAGAGGTCCTTCCATCCGTGTTGCGAACATCTCGTGGTGACTTCGAAAACACAAATCCAAGCGACCACCTCACGGGAACCACGCCATTGTCGAAACAACTGGACGAAGCGACTCAGAAACACATGTTGCTTACCCTTAGTGAAGAAAGGACGATAGTCAACTCCATTACCTGGATCTGCCAGCAAACGCTTCTCTAACATGCCTCTATAGAGTGCGGTTGCCTACAAGGGGGTTTTTCACGCCAGGACCATGTTTGACGAAGAGTCAATGTCGCCAGGTTGCACCAATCGCCTATCGAGTCTTCATACTCAAACCAGGATGTTAAGCCATCGAAAATCGGTGCAATCTTTGGTGCCATCCTAAGAGGTCTCGGGAACCTGCGCAGCGTACGCATCTGGCCTACGATAACCTGCCGCTAGGGCGGCGTCTGGCCTTGCTGCTGATTGTGTTTGGTAATATGAAGCGCGACCATCTGGATAAAAATTTGATTCATGGCCTTCTTCTGTACCCTCATTATCGCTCACTGTGCGCTAGCTGTAGCGGCTCTACTCGAACGAAGGTGCGCCGAAACACACCCGTTAGTTCGGGTTTTCTGGAGCAACTAAGCCCCGCTACCACTTTGAGGGCGGACCCCCCCAGACTGGAGCGATTAACAACAGTATCAACCTGGATCGGCTTACAGGCTAGCAAACCTCACAAGAGCGTGCGAACGAAGGCGGGCAAAACCAAATGTATTGGCGGTAGCATGCATTGCGGAAGGGCACACATAAACAGTAACCATGGTAAAGCAGCTTAACAGGGACCCAAAACCAAAAACATGGGGGGGCCGTGGGGGTGAACTGTGAGGTCACCATGACTAGGCTCGGGGCCTTCCATATTGCTGGCAGTGGATGAAGGAAGGTGGAGGCTGCATGCGAACGAACGCATGGCAGCCGCAGATGGGTGTGCTGCCCACCGCGAAACCCAAGCGTGGCGCGCAGCTGGACGCAGAATGGTGGGGAGGTGCTGTGTTTTGTGACGAGACAGGCGAAGGAGGGTGGCTGCTTCCGTGCTCCGACGCCTCCAACCCCATATGTTCAAGGCCTTCCAATTGTTGGCAAGCAGTCGTTGAAACAGCCGAGTTGTTCTCATAACATGTGGCATGGCTATGCTAAACGCAAGGTACCGGTGCCAAACGGTATTCACGCGCTGCGACCAGCTGCGATCAACCTTGAGCAACCAGACTGACGCTAGCAAAAAAATCCATGTTCGGCTGCCGCACCGCTGGGCCTCGCACTGGCCTGTCAGAACGTCTGACTTTTCTGACGCTCCTGTTGCTGGAGGTGGGCACGCGCGTTGCGGCATTCGGAGTGATGACTGCCATAGACAAAGATTTGCCTTGGCCATTTGCTGTGGCCATCCCATCAAAAAGGGTAGATGCCCCCATCCTTGGAAACATGGTTGCTAGGCCTGGGTTGGAGACTCAGTTCACATTCCAGACCGAAATTGAGCATGACAACATGCAGTTGCGACACTCCATGGTATTCTTTCCAGCCGCTCGCTGAAGGCGAAGTAGAGTCAGGACATGGGCAAGTGTTCTTTCTGAGCAGTAAGGGCTCGACGATCGAAACACACACCGTTTGTTTCTTCGGACAACGGCACACTTGCATGTGAACAGTAGGAGGACCACTCCTTCCAGGATCGTTCAAAGGTCATGATTTCTTTGCTGAGGATCACTTCTTTGAGCAAGAATTGGCCAAAGGAGTTCCACGGTCAAAGACCGTGTGGCGCGGTTGGTTGGCGAGTCGGAGGGATCGGACAGTGCGCCGCCCCACGGCAAACCGGCTGGAAATACTCTACAACTGCCCGGCAGCCGGTGGAAACTGGAACGAACGCGCAAACCAAATGGCAGTCCAAGTCGGAAGGACAAGATCAGGCTGACCCATCCAACGTGGATCAAATGCGCTTGCCGACGGCATTCTCTTGAAGCACGCGTGCTCCTTGGACAGCCACAAATGCAAAGCTGCGGTGGTCCTCGTGGGTGCTCACGGACGGCACCGCCATCAGCGAAAATGGAAAGTCGACCGAGATGCCATAAACAGAATGCTTGGGGTGAAGAGATCCGACAGGGGTGGGCAGCACCTCAAGCGCTGAATCAGGCTGAGTTGCTGGCAAACTGATAGGGGGCATTCAAGTGACTTCAGCTTCGCTCGTTTGTGCCGTGTGGAACCAAGGCCAAAGGCGAAGGAGTGAGATGAAGCAACCTCCTTGGCTGACCCCACAGCCACGTCCGGTGTTATGCAATGACGAAGTCACTCGGGGTAGCCCCAACAAAGTGCCACTGGATTGCGGTAGGGAATTTGCCTCGCATTCACACCAGTGTTGCTGTGCAGGTTCCTTCTTGCCAAGTGCTCAGCGAGTTCAATTGTGTTAATTTGTCCACTGCTTCCAAGTTATGTTCCCTCCCTTCCTTTGCTGCAAATTTCACATAAACAACTGAAGAAGATTGAATACATGGTGTGGGGAGTTGGCCTCAATGTGATCCCTTGACTACAACTTTGTCCCAAAATTGCTCTCCAGGTGACCCGCGGAGAAGACATTTTACATTGCAATGGTTTGCAAAAGCAAGAGGGCGTCACATTTGTTGAATTCATTGTGTGTCTCGTCTTTTTAAACAAAATGTTACGCCATTGCCATGTTTTTAAGATATGTGTTTCCTTTAGATGTGTTTTTGTCTCTGCATGTGACCGCGGAGAAGACGGTGTAACTTGCAATCGTTTTCAAAAGCAAGAGGGCGTCGCGATCAAAGGGCAAGTCGCAGAGCATCTGTCCACAGTATTCCTGTTGATTGTACTGGTTGCACCGGTCGCCGTACACGTGCGAACTTCACAAGCGGTTCAGTCTGGGAAGACACGCGGCCAGGCCCTGAGATCCTTGGGGTCCCAACCAGGTGGTATGGGAGGGCACCTCTGGATGCCAAGCCGACCCAAGCAGTCCCTGTTCGGCACGCAGAAATGCTCGCCCGTGAGGAGGTGGGGAAGTGCCGAGCAAACAGAGCCAAGAAAACCAAACATTAGAGCAAGGACGCTACGAACGTAGCTCCTGGCATCGCTACTACGAGCATTCTTACGACTAGCAGCAAGAAGCTATCTTTCAGAGAAATCGCACTTCGTAGAGATCGCACTTCGTATGGTGCTTCAGGAATCATGACATCTCCCGCGCGGCTGAGTGGCCTTCAAACGGGAGGTATGGACCAAGGCGGCCAGCTCACCCAAAACGTAACAAGAAGCTACTAGGAACAAGGGCATCGTTACTAGGAAGAAGGGCATCACTAGTACACTACTGACAAGTAACTTAGGACTTGTCGGACATACATGCCAATTCCAAAAGCCTATGTCATCAGGATTGATCATCCAACATTGGCATTTCCTACTAGTGACAAGAAGCTTGTTTGTTGCGGCGCGTTCTACTCAAGCGCAGCGGCGCAGCTCCACATACAACGGTCGACGTGCGCAGTCAAAATTGCTTTTAGAACGCGAGTTAGCAAGACAAGACTAGTTCTCCCCAACATCTTTACTAAAAGTTCTTGAGATTTGCAACAGTGATCCTGTTGCGTGCTTTGCTGTGGAGACGCTATTTTTCTGCTCCTTGTGCCGAAGCCAGCGTTGCCAGCAATTCGCTACATCCACGTTGCACGCGTCGCGAGCGCAGTGGGGACGGGAGGACGCGGCGGTGTCCCACATCGGACGTCGTTCAACGTCATGGTGAAACCGGGTGAACGGACATCGCGACGAACGAAGCAAGGACACGCTACTAGTAGCTGGCATCGCGACGAACGGAACAAGAAACTTAACATAAAACGACAACATCCAAAGCCCGCTCTGCGCTCTGTCCTCTGCGCGCTGCTTGGTTGGCGCTTCCTTTTTTTGGTTTCACACACCGTCGCGCCATGCCGGAGACCGGAGCACCTCTCTGGGCGCCTTGGAGTGTGAAAGACTGCCGGGCTTGTCAAATATGCTCCGGAAAGAGGGACTCAAACTTGAACAAACAGTAAAGCAAATAATATCATATATGTATTATTTAAAAAAATGTATAATACACATTAATATAAGATAGACACAAATGGGGATGAGCCAGCGATGCAACACCAGGAGACAGGCTGAAGTAATCTGCTTGGCATCTTATTCCCACGTAGCCTCAGGTTATGGGTGGCTACAACCTGAAATTGTTACTTCTCCCCGAAGCACTTCGCAAGGCAGTGCGTTGATGATTGAGACAAATGTGCCTGAAAAAGATCCCATGTTTGAGACCCTGGCGAATCTACTCGAATCTACTCCCCCCAAACATACTAGGAACAAGTGCCACGCTACTAGTAACAGGTGCCTTACTAGTAGTAACAAGAAGCTATTAGAAACAGTGCTCTCCCGTCCCGGTAGGTTCCACGTGTGCTCTCCGCTTCAAAAGCTTGCCGTCGTGGCCTGGCGAAGGGCGCACGGGTGTTCGACAGCTTGGACCGATGCGAAATTACCACGTCGTCGTTTGAAAGCATTTTATGGCTAGGAACAAGTGCATCGCTACTAGTAACAAGTGCCTTACTAGTAGTAACAAGAAGGCCAATACAAACAAGTGCCACGCTAGTAGTAACAAGAAGCTCCTAGGGGCTCCTGGCCTTACTACTAGGAACAAGAAGCTCCTAGGGGCTCCTGGCCTTACTACTAGGAGCAAGGACGCTAGCAGTAAAAGATAACTGATGCAAAAGAGAACTGATGTCAATCCTGGGGCATCGTGTTTCATTAGCCATATCATATCCGTGTTTCAAGCTGGTGAGACATCAAGGATGCTCTCAAGCCGCTCCCCCAACATTGGTTGACAGCCCTTGCCACCCTTGCCCAGGGCATACCTAAGAATTGATCCAGCTGATAGATTTGACCCTCACTCAATGTGCCCCCTCCGCTTTCACAGCGTTTATTCCAAGCCAAATCGAATGAGGTTAGGTGTGAAGCGTTTCAAGCTATCTCTTGAAGCTGAGCAAGGGGGTCAGGGGATCATGTCATGTTCCTTACATGCCAATGATAACCTTACCGATGTTCCAAGTGCACCTGAGGGGTCTTGAGTCTTGAAGGACACCAAGAACTCATAAGTTGATCCGGCCTGAGTAGAAGCATTGACTCATCAAGAGTACGTTGCAAGTCATTAAACAATTGTGCCATTCTGGAGGCTGGTTGGAGGCCATCGCTAGTAGGTTAGGGGCCATCGCTCTCATAAGTCTTTGCTTGGAAGCCCTCGCTCTTAGGTTGGAGGCCTTGGCTCTCAGGTCGGAGGCCATCGCTCTTAGCTTGGACGCCATCGCTCTTAGGTCGGAGGCCATCGCTCTTAGGTCGAAGGCCATCGCTCTTAGGTTGGAGGCCATCGCTCTTAGGTCGGAGGGCATCACTCTTTGGTCGGAGGCCATCGCTCTTGGGTTGCCATCGCTCTTAGGTTGGAGGCCATCGCTCTTAGGTTGGAGGCCATCGGTTGTAGGTTAGAGGTCATGGCTATCCTGAAATTTTCTGTCTGGAGCAGAATCCAACAAACAAGCAAATGGCGGCAGGATTGAATGAACATTACCAACTTGCAGAGTCATGTCAAGCAAAAGAAAGAGCTAAAATGGTCTTGCTGCATGCGACAATCACTCCAGTTTTAAGGTCCGATCACAGGCATCGCGACCACGGGGGCAGAAAGGCACAAACGCGCAAGCAGCTGAGACCCCGGCGAAAATGCTTCAGAGCGCTGAAGTTGAAATAGTGTGCGTGTACAGTGCATGGCATGTGATGTGTGTCCGTGACCGAAACCATCAAACATCGGATTTTCAAGGATAATCTGTTTGTTCCTTTGAATGCCAGGAGCTACTAGTAGCTTCTTGTTACTACTAGTAAGGCACCTGTTACTAGTAGCGTGGCACTTGTTACTAGTAGCTTCTTGTTACTACACCTTCACTTTCCCATTCACTTGGCGGTTCTGAGGCGCCTCACTCCCATCACTCCCAGCGGCCAACCACTCTTGGTTGAGCCGTCGACACTGGGAAATGGTGCCTGGCGACGGGTCAAAGGCGATTCGCGCAGACGCAAACGAAACTGCAACACACTCAACCGGCGAAGCATCCGCATTTCCCGCATCCTTTGTCCTCCGCCGGTTCGGGTTCCTGGTAAACCCGGCATGCTGCCTTGCAGTGTTGCAACAAACTTTGCAACATCATTTCTTCCGCCTTCTTCCGGCGCAGTAGAACTTGAGCTCTGGCCGTGCACCGCATGGCATCCTGCACCTTCAAGATCGCGGGATGGTCCGCTCCCAGCGCCGCCACCTGGTCCGGTGGTGCCGGCGGATCTGGACCTGGATCTGGGCGCCTGGAGGAGTCTTCCACCGACCCCCAAGCGGCTTCCAAGGCATCCGCCGGCGTCACATTTGGGTTTGACGCACAGCTGAAGGTGGATGGAGGTGCCTCTGAAGCTACAGAAGCTGCTACGGCAGCTGGAGCTGCTGGAGCCTTGAGCTTTTGGTGGAGTTTCTGCGTCAAGGTCTTGTGGTCCAGGCTCATCTCTGGCGCAATTTGGTGCAAAAGCTCCTTCAGTAAGTGAGAAGAAGATACCGGATCCACGCCCAGCATACCTTCTCTTCCACCCTTTTCACTCCCTTCAGCACGAGCCTTGACTGTAGAGGGAGGATCTTCAGCCTCGACGGGCTTCTTCCGCGGCAGGACCTTCGGCCGCTTCGGCAGCTGCCGAGCCTGCTTCGTGTCCTTCGGTTCCTTTGGGTCCTTCGCTTCGTTCAGGTCCTTTGGGTGCTCTGTCGTCTTCTGCGGCTCCTTCGGAGCGTGCGGCGGATCGGAGGATGGCTGTGGCTGTGCTGGCTGCGACTGTGATGCACTGGAGCAGCTCAAAGTGCTCAAAGTGCCACCTTCTCTCGGTGCTTCTTGTGCCTCGGTCTCCGCCTGCGTCCTCTTCCGTGGAAGCACTTTCTTTGGTGCGCTCTTCTCATCGGCTTCTGCGCTCACTGCCTTCTTCTTCGGCAGCACCTTAGCTTTCTTCGGCTCTGCCGCCTTGGGCTTCGCCACCTTGGGCTCCGCCACCTTGGGCACCGGCTCCGCAGCTTGGGGCTTCGCAGGTGCCTCGCTCCGCACCGGCTCCTGCGGCACCGGCTCCGGCGAGGCGCTTCCCAGCGACCGCTGCAGCGACGCCCGGATCGCCGCGTCCAGGTCGTCGGGCTCAGCCGCAGCGGCAGCGGCCTCCGCCGCGCCGGGCTCGGCCTTGACGCCGCCGTAGAGGTCCACCGCCACGCCGCACTCATCGTCCGAGTCCACCTGCTGGACTGCTTTGGACACCTGGCCGCCAGCGGTTGGGAGGGCTATCAGCAAGAACTTCTTAAGCTCCCAGAGTCCTACAGAAACGTGGATTCCCTTTCCCCCCCCTCCACCCTAGGCGCCGCACCTCATTCGCCTCGTCGCTCTTCCTTTCCTTTCCGTTGCTCTCCACCACGGGCTCGGGTGGACGGGTCTCATGCTCCACAAGCCGGGCGGCCAACTCCTGGGCCACCGGCGAAACGAGGCACGTACCGAGCGTGGGAGCTACCAAGCGTGGCCGTGGTCGTCTGGAACAAACTGGATAGTCTGTCTAGAATCCATGGCCATCTCCATCCCTCATTCTGGTCCACTCGCACAAGGCCCCTGGTGCTGGTGTCGAGAGGCAAAGAACACCCGCTACAATGAGAAAGCAAAACACACATGTCGATCTTTTTGTAGTAAGACCCTGCAAAGACCCTGCAATGGCCGGTTTGGACTAACAAGAAGCTACTAGGGTGGAGGCCATCGCTAGTAACAAGGGGTTAATGTGCTAAAGAATGTCACGCCGTGTTGGGGCAACGAGTGTCCAACTGACGAGACTCCTTGCGAGTGCCGACCGTGTTGAGGCCCCGTTTTTGGAGCTCTGCCTTCAACTCAGGCACCTCAAGCCGGACAAACAGATCCACTGAGTGGATGGCCTTTGTCAAAAGCATACTTGATCAAGAGAAATAAATACACCAGCATTTCATGTTATTTTACTACAACTATAGCAAAGGCTACTAAAGTTTAGTTCATGCCCAACGACCTAAGGCCGGAAAAGGATGTAATGTTAGCGTGGGGACCTGCACAAGTTTGGAGGATGTTCTGGGATGAGCGTCACCTTCCAAACCTGCTGTGTCTGTGTCACGGCAGTGCTTCGTGCCGTTTTAGGCACCCCTGCCTTCAAGAGCCCGTAGAGATTTCTGGCGCTGTCTGCGCTGGCTTCCAGCATGCAAACTAAAGATCACTTGAAGTCGGCACCATGGCAAAAACGCGAGTGACTAAGGTTGAAATGATCCGGATTCAAACACAGTTGGCCGGATGCTCCAGCTTCTTGTAGCTCGAGAATCCATCCAGTGCGGTTTTGGCTTCACCAGAAATCATCAGGGTCCACGTATGCGAGGGTTTTGGAGCCCTAATGACCGGGGGGTCGTCCTCCAAAGTTGGATCGAAAGCATGAGAAGTTGGAAACGACATCTGCACAAATCTGTGCCCTTCAAGCAAGAGTTGACTCTCCATTTTCGTGACCAAATCGGAAGGGACTCTCGTAATCGAGAAAGGTTAGTTCTGATGTCCAAGTTTGCAGCTTGAGATGAAAGACCGCACTCGTGGGTGACTTCTTCAGTTCTCTTGTTTCCGGTGTCACTGTGTCAAGAGAGAACATGAGCTTGTCCTTTTGTTTCGGTCCTGAGAGGGTTTGAACCCTGAAACTGCAGCAAGCGGCAACAACCCTTGGTGACGATCCTCCTAGTTGTAAGGCCTTCCAACTGACCATTACATGGAGAGTCTCCGCTTCATCGCAACAACGAGCTTGTCTAAAGAATGGTTGGAGATAGTCCTTCTCATCCATCCCAGGTCACTATCAGCCCTCCAACACTGCGGACGCGACAGCGCAGTGACCTGCTGTCACGGTCATTGAAAGATCGACCGTTCCACGGGTGCGTTGAACGTGGACTGCGCAGTCGTCCACTTCGATGTCGATGGCGAAACCGTTTTCAGACGTCCGTCCGTCCAACCCAAGATACCCGAAAAAAAACACCAAGGTCGGCCTCATGGGGCAAGAGCTGCTGTGCCTGGAGAGTCGGGTTCCGGTGCCCACGCACCTCTCTACCCCGCGCAGCCACGTATGAAAGGTCTGTGCATCTTAGCAATAGTATATCTATTGTGGATTTCACCGTGTATCCTACCGAGCCACCTTGTAAGAACCCTGTCCTACCGCCCCTGTCCCCGACCCTGTTTCTTGTCTGGTCTCAAGCGCCGCGTCCCACCCTCCACATGGCTGCGAGTAAGGTCGAAACGGGTTCGATCGGTCGGCAATGCTGGAAAATCACACTGGTTAAAAATCTTCTATCTTCTAGCTTTCTGAGTTTTTCTTTATCCATGCCAGCCGATCTCTCCGATCTGCACGTTCTTTCAATCGTGCCATTTCATCGTAGAGGCTATATCGTCCGATAGCCAAACACTCTCGAAGCATCCGACCGTCCATACTCTTAGTCAAACTATCAGCTAGCTGAGCCTGACTATGGACCCACCTCATCCTACAGTTCTCTTGAAGACGTTCTCTGATCAAGATGCACTCAAGAGTCGTTCTATATTCCTCACAGCTGGGTGTGGATGTTCGGGTGGTAATATCATAGACTGATTTACAGTCTGTAGCAACAACTGAAATTGGAGCATCTGCCAAGATCTGCTCTGGAGCTGCGATATTTATACTGGGATCCTTCGTCCACTCCCACAACAAACGTATCCACGACAGTCGGTCCAATGCCCCACTTAGAGCAACCGCCTCAGCACTCAAAGTGGATCTAACAACCCTTGGGATCTTTCGCGAACTCCATGCGATCGGACAGACAATGCCCACTTCATTGTTCAAAAGCGCTGCTCCTGTAGCAAAAATCAAGCAACCTTGCCGAGAAGAGGCTTCTTTATTGGTTGCAAATGATGCATCAGAAAATGCGCAAAACGTGGTTTCATACAGCGGTATGGGCAAGATGTGAAGACAAACATGGTGAGTCTTAGCTTCATGCAACACCCGGTTCACCACCAAAAGATCCTCTACCTTTGCTCTAGTCACCTTTGACTGAATCTCCCCTACCTTTGCTGAAATATCAGGGCGAGTATTTACAGCTGCATATTGCAATGCACCAATCAGTCTTCGAAGTTCTTGCCTCTCTGAGTCAGTCACCGCTGCATTGGGTTCTGAGCGTCTCGATTTTGGAATCATGATGGGCTCAATTCTTTCGACATACTCTCGCTGTTCAACCTCAATAGACCCATCTGGCCATTGAAAATATCGGACACCACAGAATACAAAACTCTTCTCGTGATATGCACCAAAACTGTACTTGGCTTGCAATTGTTCAAGGATCGAGTGAAAATACTGGTCCCCACCTCCCAAACCATCATCGACATGGATACCAATCATTCCCCTTACCTGAGGTTTACCATTCTCCCCCATAGTCACCAAACTGAACAAGCAACTATCGAATGGACAAACCACGAATCCAAAAGATTCCAGGCGCTTCCTAAATGATTTGTACCATAGGTAGGGACCATCCACTCTACCATAGGCTCCTCCTTTCAATAAGCACTGATCTCCAGGTCGCATTTCAAGCGCCTTGGATAGTTCTGGAGGAACATCTAAGCCAAGTCGTCTCCCATCACCCTCTCCTTTCAAGAAGGCCGTGGAGACATCAAAATTGATCAGGGACCAACCTCTTGCCGAGACATTTTGCAACAAGACCATGCGCCCATCCTTCGATAAGGTAGGGGCATCGTTAGGTACTGTCGACAAGTCTGGATCAGTATAACCCATGCAAAACTACCAACCTGGCTTTCGCACGACGCTCCCCCCCTGGTTGCTCTGGTGGTTTCCAAGTGAGAATCCACCGACATCGCATGATCTCTTCTGGTTGCAATGTCCCTTGAGTGACTCGCTTCACAGTTTCATGATTCAACCAGGCCTTAATTTCTTTCTCCTTGGCCTCACTGAATTTTGCTCGGTCGGCTTCATTCAAATCATTCCATCGGACCTCAACCTTTTCTTTGCGAGCATTGGATATCACAAACGTATCATAAGCAAAACACACATCTGTACCATGCCTAGCATCAAAGGTCATTGTTGGTCCGGCATGAAAAGAAATCTCATAACATGGACACACTGTGCTTGGAAATGAATGCTCATCGCCAAACACAAAAAGTTCATCATCTGTCTCTACAGGAATTGGAACTTCGGATGCATCCATAGGTTCATCCATGGTGTCTTCGGGAATCACGGGCGCTTCAACTTCCATGGGTTCCGTGGGGGTGTATTCTGATGCTGGTGGGGTATCTGGGTGTGACACTTCATGTGACACTTCACTCTCAGGCTGGCTACCAACCCCTCCTCCTACTTCCGGTGGAACATCATCCAAAGCTACAAAATCCCCACAACTACTTGTGAGGGACCATGCCATCTACCTCTCTCACTCCTTCCCCCACCCTTCTGTCGTCTCCAATACAAAACCCAATCCCCCTTTTCAAAGATCATTCGATCGGGTCGACTTCGTCTCAAGAGGGCACGCCTGAAACTGCTGTCGTTGTCGGCGGTGATGAAGCTTTTACGGGCTTGCTCTCGTCTTAAAAGACTCCTTCGAAACAATTGTCCTTCCGTGGAGTCACAATCGGCTATGGCATGGCTCCCGGCTTCTTCATCCGACATCAACGAACCCGGAATGGATCTTGATTTCCCCAACAAGGCTTGTTCAGGTGTAAAACCCCCAATCCTACTCAACGAGTTCTTTGCGTTGAACACCTGTCTCAAACACCTACGAAATTCTTCCTCCGTGTCAATTGGGGTTTCGTTGTCCATCCGAGTCAGCATGTTCTTAATGATCGCCCCATGTCTTTCACACCTGCCAAGTTGCCAATGACTTTCGCCTGCTGACATAGAGACCTTGATGTTCTCCTTCTGAAGAAAGGTCGCCCAAGCATCGTTGACATATTCTCCAGCAGGATCCAAATAGAGCAACTTGCAAGGGCCAGCCCATTGAAGCCAGCAGTCTTCAAACAAGCGAATCTGTTCATCTACACTTCTACGCCCTGGAGCACCGGTGTGGTACAATGTCCCTTCATCAATAAAATGCATGAAATGAAACACCTTTCCCTTAGCGTTCTTCCAATAGGCCCCATCTCCACCTACCTCATCATTGAAATCCAAATCCCGATGGATTCTCCCAGGCCTACTAGTTGAGGGACCCTTCCTATGTTCAGCGCATGTGGGACACTGGAAATCAGCAATGCCCTCAAGGATCTCTCGTGAGGCTCCCCGCTCCTTCATGAATTTTTCAAACAGTTCAGGAGTGGGATGACCAAGGTTGTGATGCAGTCGACGAATCTCTCCTTGGTCTTCACCCTTTAAACGGGTGAATGCTGGCCCCGAAACTGCGATTGGCCTTGGAGCCCAACCAACATTGTGGTCGAGCTCTGACCCCTCAGGCTTTCTCTCCACCTGAGTGAGTTCTTCTCTGGTGGAGACTTCTTCAACCGCGTCTTTTGGACTCCCAAACATGGTCAACGACAATCTAGCTGGTCCACATGCTCCAACCCGCTTCAACTTAGACATCCTCAACCACTCCTGGGGTGGTCCAACATCAACCACTTCACCACTAGTTCGATGGACATAGACGGTCCTTCGAAGCGGCAGGTCCTGTGTCTCCAGCCCATTCTTGAGAATCCTATATCGGTCTGTTCCCCGACAGGCGATGAAGGGGCCAAGATTCATGTCCTTTAGCTTTCGGGCCACCCTGTCAAACAGCTCCCCTTGGGTCACCTCCCAACTACCTACTCGAGGGGCCCCTTTGGAAACATCCTGCAAAATTTGTTCCCAGGTCTCTTCATCTTTAAATGCTTCGGGACAGGGTTGCTTGTATCCACAACGACGGCGCTTCAGCTGAAGAGAACCAAGTGCTGCCTCCCTTGGTTCCCCCGGTCGTTTATGCCCTTCGTTTTCCTCAAAACCAGCGAGCAACTCCTCTACTAACAAAGGGTCTTCCTGCCCCTTCATCGACAACAACAAAGCCCTCACAATGTTTCTAGCCAAACACGACGTGTATGCTGCTGCAAATGCTGAAATGTTTTGTCTGTTGCCTTGTTGGTTGTGTGTCCCTTCAATGGTCTGGTGTTCGTGAGTGTTGTCACACCATCTTCCATGAAGAACTCGATGAACTTCTCGCGAGGTGGTCAACACATGCGTTCTCTTTCTCAAAAATGAGTCCTTCTTGGGCAGATGCAATCTCCCAACTTGGCATTGATCAAACGATGCCTGCAGCGTGCCTTCCAAAATCTCTCTTAACTCGTTTTGTCGAAGCATATCTGAACCGGCGGGTTGTTCCAAATGAAAATGTCTTCCATGTGCAACTTGTTCCCAAAATAACATGGTACACACTCTCAAATGAACCCTCTCTCTCTCTCGCCTAGAATCCGTTGTCTGATTTCTGGGTCTCTACTCATGTTCAACCTCGAAAAACCACCCCACGCTTTACAGTCAGGAGCTGCCCAAATGTGAGTAGGTTCATAGAGTTTGACCCAGGTCATTAATTTGTCGATTCCTTCTGGTGTGCTTAGGTCTCCATCTCGTTTCGTGAAACGAATTGCTCCCCCAAAACGACTCATCTGTGAGGTCAATTGGGAACCCTCAAAACAATACACCTCCAGAAGGAAGACTGGCCGATTAAGATCTGGATCCTTAGGCGGTGTCAGAGTCTGTGGACCACGTAAGGGTAACTTACTTAGACCTTCTTCAATTTGGGTTGTCACTGTCTCTAACTGTTGACAAATCTCTGACGTGGTCTTGTCTCTCGACTTGCCCTTCCGAATTGTCTGGTCATTGTCCCTCACGAATCCTCGTGGAGAGCCATCTCGTTCACAATCTCCTGACGATCGAGCTCTCTCTGCAGAATGGCCATCTGGGTTCGTAACTCCTGTGCACGTTGATAGTTGGGTTCGACCAGCATCGATGATGTCGACGGCGGTTCTGCCAGGCTGCGCTTCTTGTCCGGCGTTGACTCCAGCATCTTTGTCCCTGGCATGGGAGACTCGACATCGATGGGCGCCCACTCTGAATCCGTCTTGGTTGACATTGCTGAGGTGGCACTTTTGCGAACTGGAATAGGTCCCTGCGCAACCATCTGCTGGGACATCTTCTTTTTCATGGCCTTGCAGTAATTCTGAAAACTCCGCATGTCGTTTGACACCAACCTCGTGTGAGACAGGATGTACTGCACATACTGCGGGTCGTTCTGGAAGACCTCTTGAAACTCCTTCTTCTTGTGCTTGCCACTCTCGAATGCCTCTTGTCCCCACTGAAGGAGATTGTGGATCCCCTTGGGTTGGCTGTAGGTCAACCTTTCGTCCGATGCCTTGCTGGTCAATGACAAGTCCTCCTCCCCGGAGAGTTCCTCCAACTGGAACTGTGGGACCATCTTCTTGAGCGCCATCAGGAGATTGGCTCTCACGGGGATCGGAAGGCTTGCACGCTTGAGTCAAAGGCTGTCTCTCATTCGAATCGTTGGTCTTTCTCGTTGAAATCCGAGCTGCGTTCACGGAGTCTCTGGTCGATGCTTGCTTAAATTTGCTGGTGCATTCATTGCGAATTCTGTCATGCATGCCATGTTCCAGGTGGGTCTGAGTTGTGTCCGTGTTGTCCTCTGTCGGTGTGTTGTGTGTGTGGAGACATGTTTCTCCAGTTTCATCTTCAAACACAACCTTCAACAAATCTCGAATTCGAACACAGTTTAACTTCTTTCGAACCCTCCTCATCCTAACCGCATCCATGCTCCCATGAAAACGAAGCTCATTCATGTGGGGATCAACTACCCCTTTCATACCCTCAACCACAGCGTTTGAGATGAGGAACGGTGTATTGCCGGGCACGACCTCGACACGCAACCAACCTTTTCCACTCCTTTCAAGAAAAAGTGCTTCCGTGCTCTGGAGCAAGCCACAATTTCCAAACCTGAAAACACACTTGGAGGGCCCCCGCTTAATCCTGACCCCTTTCAAGGATTTCAACAAAGGCTCCACTCGACTGCTCCCTATGATGGTCCGACTTGCCCCAGTTCATCCGAGCCTTCCTCTTCCGCAAAATGAATTGTTTCAAACTCTGGAAAACTGGCCATGGGTGGAAAGGCGGTCTTCTCCTGGCCTTTGGCCTGGCGTGTCGTTGCTGAAGCGTCATGATCAGGCCACGACATCCTCCGAGCCGATTGCAGTGCATGTTTCATCAATCCTTTAACCCGTCCTCCGTCTGAAACCATGAAACACTCTCCTACCAAGCCTGGATGGTTCTTTGGTAAACATGTCGTACAATCATGCGTGAGGTTCCAATCATTCTTAAACACTCTAGTCCTGCGATCGAACCGAATTAAACACGTCGTACGAACGTCATCCTGGAGCTCATCCGGCAAGGTCGCTGTGAGTTCCTCGGGCAGTTCTGCCAGATTGTCCTCGGCCATGCTCACCATCTCATTTCCTCGAGCTGCTCGTTCCGGGCATTCTCTCTTCCAATGGCCAGGTTTGCCGCACAAACGACATGTCGAATTCGCTATGCGCTCCGCCAGCGTTCGACGACCCGGTGGTGCAAACTGGTTTCCTTTGGATGAACCCTTCTTCCCAAACCCTTTTCCTTTCGTCGCTGGCCAAAACCCCCGATGCCGAGCACGTTCACGAAGTCGGGACCGGGCCTCCTGGTAGGCAGTGAAGCAACTTGAAAGCTCCTCGGATTCCTGAACCGCCTCAATGATCTGGTCCTCAAACTCGCTCACAAAGATGGCGTCTTCATCGCCTTGTTGCATGAGCGAAGCAAAGACACTTTCTTCATCAATCTCTTCATTCACAAAAATACCATTTCCCTTGGCATTGTGTGGATCTGAACTCGTGTCAATGTCCTCCTCCACTGCATGTACATCATAGGTTTTCAGCTTTCCCCGAGAGGTTCCCTGCAAATCCTGAAAGAACCTTGAACCCAAAAGCCTAATAGCTTCTCGGGTGGTCTCATACTTTAGGATCCCATTGCTGTCCACGATGATGCGCTTTTTCTCTTCAGAGGAAAGGGATGAGTGCCTGACCAGTACATGCGATTGAATCTCCTTCAGGGAAACTTCATGGTCCTTCTGAAGGAGGTCCTCGAAGCATGCTTCATGGCGAGCAATGTAACTGTCGTTACTTTCATCTTGTTTCTGTTGGGTGGAGTAGATCGCCCGCTCAAATTTCAAATTCCGATCTTCGGTCTTGAAGCGTCCCCACTGCACTCCCAAAGCATCTAAAATTGCCTTGCTCCCGTCTTTGGACTTCAGTCGTTCGGTGGGAATCTGTGATACCTTCTTGAAGGCGATGGCATCACACTGCAAGACAACCCTTGGTCCCAAATGTTGAATGTGTTCTTCCGGCCAAATGGAGGAAAGGAAAACCAGCTTCTTTGCGAAGTCCTCCAAATTGGTCTCTCCAGCAACGAAATGCGGGATCTGGGCCCACGGCAGCTGCGAAGCCGGCATCGTTGCCATCCCCGCCGATGCACTTGCTTCGGAGGGCATGGCTCACTCGAACCCGAGGTGAGTATGTCAACAAAAACCTTCTTTTGTTGAGAACCCCAAAACCTAACACCTATCTAAACCTCTAGCGACCTTGCCCCTTGTTTAGGGGCTCCGCTACCAATGTGGATTTCACCGTGTATCCTACCGAGCCACCTTGTAAGAACCCTGTCCTACCGCCCCTGTCACCGATCCTGTTTCTTGTCTGGTCTCAAGCGCCGCGTCCCACAATCCACATGGCTGCGAGTAAGGTCGAAACGGGTTCGATCGGTCGGCAATGCTGGAAAATCACAATCTATATATATATATATATATCTACTGGCAAATCTGGTGTTTTGCTTCCATGTCTTTCAAGGTGGTGCAAAAGACTGAGAGAAAAGGAACACATTTGGACGGCACCAGAAATCTCTCATCATCACTCCAAGGGAACTTGCAGTGGCAGGATTCACCCAAACCTTCTCCCAAGTCAGAAGCAGTTCCAAGACATAGCCATCGGAACAAAACAAAGCGGCTCAAAGCCCTTTTACACCCGGAAAAGGAGTTGAGTATATAGTTTGAGTTGTTCCTCACCCCAGGACGGCCCGCCTCGGCCATGATCTGCGCACGCTCCTGTTGCAGGTCCGCCATCTCGGCGCGCAAGGCGTGGAGCGACGAGTCCAAGAAGCCGTTCGCCTCCCGGGTCTCCTCCGATCCGAGGCCGTGACGAGGTGGACACAAAGGGGACCTGAAGTGGAGCGCGGCGGCATTTCGACACATTTGTCACCATCAGTTGACACAATAAACAATAGAAGAAACTGTAGATAACCGTGCGAATCTCCTGCAAGCATCTTCTCTCATCATTCAAGGCCTCGAGCGGCCAGGAGGCTGCATGTCGATGAAAGCGGTGATAAATCGCTGCTAAACATAAGCCGAAGAAAAACCCTCAGCAGCCGGGCAAGAATCCGCGGATTAGCCAATGGCCAGATGGCGAGTTTTTCAACAAGTGTTGTCTTTGCCACACAACCCTAGGAGCAAGGACGCTACTAGGGGCTCCTGGCATCGCTATATACTAGGAACAAGAAGCTACTAGGGGCTCCTGGCCTTACTACTAGTAACAAGAAGCTACTAGCAACATGTAAGCCTGTTCAACATGCCAGGCGAGCATCACAGCCACGGCAATACGATGGCATAGCACATGTGCCCGCAGATGCGCAAAGGTGAAAGACCCCAAAGCTTCGCTGTTGTGGAATCAGAAAAGAGAGCGTCCTTTGCTCCTAGTAGTAAGGCCAGGAGCCCCTAGTAGCGTCCTTGCTCCTAGTAGCGATGCCAGGAGCCCCTAGTAGCTGTCTTGTTCCTAATAAGAAAATGAAATAGGGAAAATCGCCTTGATGATTTCTCTCGTTATATTAGGTGGAGAGGCCATCGCTGTTAGGTGGAGGCCATCGCTGTGGTTGGAGGCTTCTGTAAGGAAAGCGCCTTGACCAATTTTGTCCTTCTCGGCCTCTTCTCGGACCCCCCCCTGAACGACATGCCGCTGCCTCTTCGAGCCACTGGCGCTGGGCGGTCGCCTCGCCGGTCGACCCGTGGCAAGTGATGTCCAGGAGCCGACGTCGCTCCTCGTTGGTGTTGGGGCCATGCATTTCTGGCAGAAGCACCTTCTGGGGGGGACCTAAAGTATCCTTCGCTACTAGGTTGGAGGCCATTGCTATGAGGTTCCTTGTGCTTCTAGAATGGATGACGATTCTACATCTTCAAGCTCTCAAGATTTGTCATTGACATTGGGAATGTGGAACTTCTTACTAGTGCTACCGGGATTGTGCTGATTTGGCCTGTCCTCACAAACCACCTTCATGGACATGAAAACATTAAGCAGTAAGAGCATTCGTAACTATATTGCATGATCAGGCATGATCCCGTCTTCTCTTCAGTATACCTAGAAACCTTTCTTTGTTAATCTATCGTTCTGGCCAATGTTCCTAGTGCAAACTTGTATTCTGTTGCTGCGACATCTTCACAGGTCTTCCGCGATCAAAAACGTCGTCTCGATCGGCAAGCTCTTCAATCACGCACGAGTCCTGTGCAACTTTGGACAGGTGCTCGCGATGTTCCCGGATTTGCCTTTGCGCAAAGCTGGCTGTCCACATCTGTTCACACTTCACCGGTGCCACCATGACAGGTGTTCTGGTAAAGTTTGCTTCTTGAAAGAGCCAAGAGTGCTCAGCTTGCTTCGATTGAGTCATGTCCCCCAAAAGGTCTTCTTCACTTCATACGACATTGACCGCACCTCCTTCCCGCGACCAAAGGAGAGTCGGTCCGTCCTCGTCCTTCCCACGCGCCACGTCCGACGCTTCGGCTCTCGGGCTCTCGGCCTTTCCAGCTGCCGCTGCAACTCCGAGAGGCGAGCCTTTTTCGGCGGCCCGGGAGGTTGTTGAAGTGGATCCCCAAAAAAGGCTTGAAAAAAACATCAGAAAATCACAAGATGTCCAAGAAAACTGCGTGACGGCATGCATTGCACAAAAAGTTCCTTGGGTTGAAGGAACTTCATCTACATGTTTCTTTTGTTCCTTCAGATGCTTGGCGTTCAGTTTCCTTGCGGCAGGCAGTTTGTGAGTTCGGAAGAAGAAGCATCAAAAGGGCCAATGTGCAAAAGGAGAAGAACTTGACTTTTGGATTCCATCTGCTCCCAACGAGTTTGTTGTTTGGAGCAATGTTCGCTACTAGTAACAAAGGGCATCGCTACTAGTAACAAGTGCCTTACTAGTAGTAACAAGAAGCTAGTAGAAACAAGAAGCTATTAATTTAGTTTAATTCTAATAGCTTTTTGTTACTACTAGTAAGGCACCTGTTACTACTAGCGTGGCACTTGTTACCGTTTGAATTTTAAAACGCCTGCGAATCTCTCACGGCTCGCGGGCGGCGCATCTCCGCCTGGGACTCCCGTGCGGACTCAGCCTGGAGTTGACCGAGTTCGATCGGTTTCGGCACGCGAGGAGAAAAGGTGCAAGTGACACTTGGCCGTGCACTTTCCGCTAGGTTGGAGGCCGCTAGTAGGTGCAAATGAGTAACTAGTGGCTCGCATGAATTAAATGATACCTGCTGGATTGCCTCGATTTCAGTTGGTGCAAATGACACGATTTTACGAAAACAGCAACAAACCCTTGGTAATCATCTTGCGACTCGTTTCAGTCCGTCAAAACATAGTGTTCCTTTAACAAACAAGGCAAACATCTTCTTGGTGCCTACCCTTTACCCCCCTTTACCCCCTCTAGCTAGGAGGATAGGGTCCCTTGCCTGGAGGGTGGCGGTGGCCATTTCCTTTCGAGCGGCGTGGCCCGGCAAGAATTCAAGAAGGAAGGACTTAAAGCCTGCTTGCCCACGTGCAAGAGACATCGTTCACGTTATAAAGTCCTCGTATGTTCTCTTCAAGGTGTTATAAAGTCCTCGCATTGAATTTTCGTGTCGCATTTGTTTCAGCGAAAGTCTCCTTCTTGGCTTGGGAGACTTTGCTCTCAAGGCTAAAGACCTGACGTCGATGTCGGCGAAATGCTTCGACAGGCTGCCACGTACTTTGAACAGGAGTAGGTCCTCACGACTCAACAGGAGCCATCTTGAGGGTGGTGAACCCCAAGAAGAATCAGACTTCTATCTTACATGCAATGGTTACGGTTACGCCTTGATCCAAGCAGAGCAGCAGAGCTCGTTCTCTGTTTAGGGATGGTCTCTTTTCTTTCTCTTTGAATGCCTTTGGCCCATCACTTTGGAAGTCCAATTACCGCTATGAAAGTGCTTGGTGTATCCTTTCCTGAAGTACGTGGTGTTCTTTTGTCCGTCTCAGCCTCAGCAACCCACCCATGGAGAAAAAGAACAACACCAAGTCTCATTCGAAGACCCGCCTCCTCGTGCAGTCGCTCTGTGAGCACCTTGTCCGCACTGGCAATGGCTTGGAGCTGCCTCCGGAGAATCCCGCGTTGCCAGAGAGAGTGACTCCGACAGGAGATCTGGGTGAGAATTATGTCATGATAAAGAAAGACTAAGGTAAACACACATCTTCTCGGAATTAAACAACAGAACCCTAGTAAAGAGCTGGTTTGCATCAGGCAACAGGACCAAAGGCGGAAAAGCTTTGGATAGTTCCTTGGAACATCTTCGAAGGCAAATCAACTCTTGGGCAGCCACTCCCAGAATCACTCTTGGTCATGGTCCCTTGTTATCTATGTGTCCTTTGCGAACAAGAATCCCTTTCTTTCACATCGCTCTTAGGCTGGAGGCCATCGCTACTAGTAATAAGTGCATTACTACTAGTAGGCTAGAAGCTACTAGTAAAGGCATCTCTACTAGTAGCAAGATCTCTACTAGTAGCAAAGGGAATTACTAGTAGCAAGGACGCTACTAGTAGCTCCTGGCGGTACAAGGAGGCCATCGCTAGTGGAGCCACGGTCGCCATGATGTCACGTAGGACCTCCCTGCCTCCCCAGCAGCACCGGCGGCGAAGCGGCCTGCCGCGTCTCCCGGGCGAAGCCTGAGGCCGGGGAGCCCAACGAGAGCTTCGAAGTTCACGCGAAAACGAGGCACTTGAGACCAAGACATAAGGATCATAAGGAAAAGAAGATCTTAGTGCAGAAAGAAATCACAAAAGAAAAAGAAAGAAAGAAAGAAAGACAAATCAGATCTAAAAACCTTAATTAGGTAGAGACCCAACGCCCAAGACCGGTTCCAAGATGCGCAAGGAGTGATGTCCAATCAGGGAAGTCTTTGGAAATTGAAGGAAAGAGACAATTCACGAAAAAACAATTGAACATTTGAAGAAAAGGATGTCAATTGTTCAAAGTGTTTGACATGTGTGGAGTTTTGACCTCGCGAGCACGCCGATCTGTGACCGGAGAGTGTCTAGGCCCTCGAACCGAAGGCTGGTGAGCCAGGGCGGGCACCTGTGACGAGGTTGCGTTTCTGGGTGAAAACAGGTATGTTATTGAAGCTACTAGCAGCAAGGACGCTATTAGGTGGAGGCCATCGCTACTAGTAATAAGAAGCTTTCTCAAACAGTGATGAAAAAGAACTGCGACAAGCAGAGAGAGAACCTACGAATGGAAGCGTCGGAGACTCATGTCTAGAGAGTTGGAGTGATCATCTCAGGATCTGTCAACAGTCTTTGTCCCAAAATATCATGTTTCCACATGTTTAGACATCATCCAATATCAATAGCAGTCAATCCAACAAGTGCTTCAGGGGAACAACTTTTCTTCTGGGTTGTTCCAACTAAGTCAGGGCCATGCGCCGGCCAAGCAGTCCAAGCAGGTGCACGGGATGCTCTTGCAAACATTTACGCACTGAGTGGTTTGAAATACTTCCGGAATATTGAATCCCACTCAGGCAAAAGGTAATATCTCACCCACATTTGCTCGAGTAAGCTCGAAGTAAGCAATGCGCGCTCGAAGTAAGCTGAAGTAAGACTCCACCCTGTAGCTGTCCCAAGCAATTTGCTCAAATCCACCCTCAGGTCGGAAGCTCCTTCCGCGTTCATTCGTTCCATCACCTCCAGTCGTCTTGCCGCGCCTTCAAAGGAGGTGGAGCCAGCCATTGGACAAACAGGGTGACTCTAAAGAGTCGCCCTAAGCGATTTGGATGTCTGATAATGACATGCATGCACGAAATCCTGTGGTGATTGATTCACTGCTATCAGTCCCAACAAAAACTCCGTCTCTTCATGGTTCACCTCCATTGCCTCGCCCAAAGAGTAATACCATGTGGGATGGTTCCAAGAATAGATTTGTTTAGGACAGGGCATACAGGAGTGTCCAACAAAGTCTAAAGTGTCCACATGTCTTCCAAACGCTTTATATAGACGGTACGGAATCAGCGCTTCCTTTGCTTGCGACGGTACGGAGCCCTCAGCTCCACGTTCCGCCATGTGTCATGAAACATGTCACTGTGAGTTGAGCGCAGCGCACCACACTTTTCCCTGAGCTGCGCAGCTTCATTACAGGCTCACTTCCCTTGCTACTAGGGGCTCCTGGCCTTACTACTAGTAACAAGAAGCTACTAGGAGCTTTCTTTGCTTCGCTACTAGGACAGGCTCACCTCCCACCCCCGGCACCATCCGGCACCCAGAATCCATTCAGGTCAGGCCATCAGGACTCAGTAGTGTTGACTCTTTATAGATGTGGGGATGGGGGATCATCATTAGAGTCACTTCAAGCAAGAGGAAACAAGGAAACTTGGCTGAAGGAAACCAAGAAGTCTATCCCGAAAATGAAAAACAAAACACGCAAAAATCATCATTGCTCGGAAAAATAGAAAAGAGTATGTTCATACCTCGGAAAGCTTCCGAAGACTATCTTCGTTGCCGGCCACAACGTGCCAAAGAAATCATGGACTGCTTTTCCGAGCCATTACTTTCTCTATTAGAGCATACCTGGTAATCCGAAATCGGGCAAAACGAAACGGGTCCAACTGCAGCTTCCGTCGTGGATCACTATGAGAAAATTGCTGGAAAGAACCCTCGGCTTCCTGTCAGCCTCAGCAGCCTCAGCAGCCAAAACGGCCTTTTGCGCGATGTTCCTTTTTCAGGTGCTTCCAGCTTGTCATTCTGGAGCTGTGAAACGGATGTGCGGCGAGGCCAGGAAGAGCCACTCTTTTTTTGTTCTTCCAAGTTCTTCAAGCAGAAACTGTTGTGGGAGAAATCAAATAAATCATGGTCCCTTGCAAACAGAGCCTGTTCAAGTGTCAGATCAAGAAGCATTCGAAATCAGATTAGATCTGGTGCTCAAACTGATGAGCAAACATAATGTGTTCAAATCGACGAACCCTGCTAAGCCATAGCAGACCACCAACCCACGGTTGCAAGTAAACAGTAAACCGATGCCGTTTCAAGTCCTAAAACCAAACCCACATCACTCTAGCAATCGCCTTTTAGTGGCTCCTGGCCTTACTACTAGGAACAAGAAGCTACTAGTAACAAGTGCATCGCTTCTAGTAACAAGTGCCTTACTAGTAGTAACAAGAAGCTACTAGTGGCTCCTGGCCTGACTAGGAACAAGGACGCTACGAACGTAGCTCTCGCTGTCCTCGGGCATCGCCTTTGTTCAAACCCAACTCGGGCGTGGTCGTTCGCCCGACCGCGGTCTGGCCCTTCGGACCACCGCCACACGCACGGCGTTGAGACCGGTAGCAATTGACACGGGGCATTCACGGGGTGTCGGTGGGAAAAGAAGCTGGGCCGCCACGGGTTGTCTTAGATCTTCAAAGATGTTTTTGAACAAATGAAAGCAAACAGGGTGAGTTTGGATGGGTTTGCAAAGAAACGTGAAGGTCGCCAAGCAGAGCAAACCCAATTTGTGTTTGGGGGTCGAGCACTTCGCAAGCAGTTCCTGAGGCTTTCTACTACTTTGAACTTCATACTGAATCCGAACGCTATCGAAAAGTGCTGTCTTTATTGGCCAGATGGGCCTGTGAGTCTAAGATGTGTTTTGAGTGACCTCCAGCAGCCACGCTGGTGACCCTACGGGGGTATCGAGGGTATTCCTAGTTGCGACTTCACTAGTCCGTACTACAGAAAAAAAGAAAGGAAGAAAAAAGAAATGTCTCAAGGTCTAAAGAACAAAGAGCTTCTAGTAGCTTCTTGCTCCTAGTAGCGATGCACTTTGTTACTACTAGCTTCTTGTTCCTATAGTAGCACGGCCAGGAGCCCCTAGTAGCGTCCGATCGCTCCTAGTAGAAAGAATGTCCGAAGGTCTAAAAGAAATGAACAAAGCACGCTACCAAGTTGTTGGAACCCCATCGAAAGGGTCTAAGGCTTTTACCCTCACCGCTTGGGGGTTCCAAACGAACGTGTCTTTTTAAAGCACTTGTTTCTATCAGCTTCTTGTTACTACTAGTAAGGCACCTGTTACTACTAGCGTGGCACTTGTTACTACTAGCTTGGGTCAATTTTGAACTTCGGGATTTCCCACCCTGGCACGTTGGCACGTTGCAAAGCGACTTCCTCATGCACATTGGCTGCAAGCCTGGCGCCGCAGCCGGCGCAGCGCGGTGGGATTCAAGTGGCGAATCATGTGGACCGCAACCCAAAACCCTTGGTTTTACACCTGTGAACAACCTGTGAATCAATAATTCACCGCAGCCAGCGTTCCTTTCTCGATGCATCTCGATGACCACATGGAGCACGTGGACAAACTGAAAGAGGTTGATCGTAGCATGGTCAAGCTATGTCAAAACCGGCTGCATCATGACTAGGGGCTCCTGGCCTTACTAGGGGCTCTTTTTGAGCGTCTTCCCTTGCAGAAACCGCAGGAACACTTTGTGGGATCCAGTTTGGATCAAGCCAAGAGACTGTCTGACTCGAGTCGTCGCCGACAGGTCTTGGACACTTGAGATGCTTGGGCATCCACCGAGCAACTCCTCTCAGCGAGGACGTGAGCCCATCCTTTTTCGATACCATCTCTTCGAACTTGGCAAAGGTTCCAATTCGGTGTCGAACTGAGTTCGATTTGATCATCCAGGACATGGAGACCACAGGAATCGATCCTATCCCCTGCATGGTGTCTGACCTCAAAGCCCAGTCCATGCTTGGCAGCCCTGCTAAGAGGAAGCTCCAGAAGAAGCAGCCACGGACGTGGCTGAATGAAGTGGCCTCCTGGTTTTTGTTCAAAGGTCGAGAAGTAAAGACTTGGACCGGCATCAAGCAAAACCACCCACCTTTTCATGCATCTCGAGCACCAGAAAAGGACTTGTATCCTATATTACGCAACTCTCAATGCCACACGTCTGAAAACAACTGAAGTGCATCCGCTTCATGATGCCCAAAGGGGCTTTCGTTTCTAAGCAAAGAACAATAAAATGCAATGTTCGACTCATGACCTACGGACTCCCAAATCGTCGACATGAGGTGAAACACGTGAACCAAATGGACAAATCCCCACACGAAACAGCCTGGTTAAAAGGACAAATCGACAAGTTTGTGTCTACGGATGGCTCTCCTCCAAATAAATCTCAAACAAAAGTACAAAAGACACAAAAGAAGAACCTCCTCCAAATCTATCGAGTTTATACCTAATTATATACCTTCCGCCTTGTTCCTGGTTCCTTTCAAAAACCGTTTTCACCGAAACCCCGTTTCGGCTCCGGCAGCTCGGTCGTGCTGGTGGTGCCAATGGACCTGAAGACCTCCAAAGCGGCTCTTCAGCGTCCAGGAACCGAAGCTTCGGTGAACGACGAAACGGACATGAAGAAGAAACAACTATAGTAACCAACGTAAAGATAACAACGGAATAAAAAAGGTGAAAGAGAAACAAAAACACACGAAAAAGGTTTCTGAAGATCACGAAAAGAGGTCGAAAGAGAAAAGAAACCCTGTTTTGACTCAAAGAAGAAAGGACAACTGTTGTGGATCACTTTGGGGGATCTGTTGGAAGTGCAACTTCAATGTGTACTTCAAAGGAGGCCAACGACCACTCCTCTTCGTCCAACACGGTTACCTCTCTACAAAACACGCTACTAGGGGCTCCTGGCCGTATTACTAGGAGCAATGTTCGCTACTAGGGGCTCCTGGCATCGCTACTAGGAGCAAGAAGCTACTAGGGGCTCCTGGCGGTTCAAAGAACCTTTCTGCACCGATGACGCATGGGACTTCAGAGGTGTATTGTTGCTCGTGGTTTGAACGAAGAAGCTCGTTGCGGGTTCATTCCACCAACGTTCGCATGCAAATGAGCAGCTATTCTTCCGGCCTCTTTTCCACCATTTAGTGGATAGACGATCTCCAAGGAAAACTGTAAATCCTTGGTGCCGCAACCACTCTGAACTGACTCTGAACTGTCTGAACTCTTCCTGACTTTGGAAGTGCGAACTTGATCAGTGTCAAAACGCCTGGTCTTCCGCAAGAGTTCCTTCCCCAACACAGTCTTTGTCCTCCATCTAACTTGCTTGTGGGTTGATCCTTGAGCACAAGCCTGGGCCACAATGATTGTTCACCACTGGGAGTTTGCTATGGCTCTCACTGAAGGTTCAGGCCGTATCTTGAGCATGCCTTCCCCTCCATAGACTGTTGTCCTGGGTTGTTGTCCTCAAATTGCACCACCAGCGGGCTTCAAGCGAATTGTCCCCACAAATGGCCATGTCCATGCAAAGTCTGTGGAGGGCATACTTACCTGGCACACAAGCTGGTAGGGTGGACGCAAAGACTCTGCATGTGATTATGTTTCCTTTGCCCACCAAGCAGTTTGGGGAATATTGTCAAAATCCCTGTTTGAGTGGGACCAAACCAAACACCTTCCCAACGCTTGCGGCCACAGCTGGGATGAGCCACAGAAACCACAGCCAAGGCACTGTGAAGCTGAACACATACTGTCTCATGCCTCAGGGTGAGATAAAGAAGAACCGCACGAAGTCTCTCTCTGAAGAGAGGAGATGAGAATGAACCAGAGCAGCGGCACCTTGATACTAGTAGTAAGGCACCTTGCTACTAGTAGCTTTTCTTGCTACTAGTAGCGATGCACCTTGTTACTAGTAGCGACCTTGTTACTACATTCAAGATGTAAACCAGGGATGACTTCTTAGAAATGACGCCGATATCAAAAGTGCGAAGTTCCACGTTGCCATCACCAACACGGGCAGATCACGGTCTTGGGCAGTTACTGAGTTTCG